AAGCTGGGGTCCAGGGCCCCTGCAGTGCTCTACCACTGCCAGGATGCTGCCGGGATGCTGGGATGCTGCTGCCAGGAATTGCTTCCTGGATAATGGGAGGGTGGGTTTCACAGCGGTGTCAGAGGGGCTGGGATGCTCCTGCGATCTTGGTAATCCAGGAGTTTGCTTTATGCTTCTCCTCCTTGGGATGAGCTGGCATCCTTTAGTCGTGCACTCTACGATGTAAACTCTCTCTAGACCTTGAGAAAGTCCGTACAATTTCAGACTATAATTGGTACAATCGTTAGGGAATGAGATTTTTTTTTTCCTAACACCCAGAGTGCCCACGGTCCCCAGGCTGCCACCCTCCCTCCAGCCCCCTGCCAAGGCAGGGCTACCCGAGACCCCCATACCCTTTGGGTGACCGTCACCCACCCCCATGGCTGCAGGATGGCTGCCCATCGCTCCCCCCCATGCCCAACCCTACCGGTACCCTTGCAGGAAGATGCTGCGGCTGTGCGGGGAGGCGGAGGAAAAACTGGCTCAGGAGCTCATCCACTTCGAGCTGCAGGTGGAGAGGGACGTCATCGAGCCCCTCTTCGTGCTGGCCGAGGTGAGGGGCTTGGCGGGGGCAGACACGTCATTGAGTCGCGGTGTCACCGTGCTGGGGATTCACGTCTGAAACGAGCTGGGGGGAAAGCAGGGTTTCATGGCTTCGGCAGCATATTTGGTTCCTGGCTGCTGCGAGAGAGTTGTTCTCTTTGGGATGTTTGCTAATTGCTTTAATTGGGGGGGTCGGTGTGTTTGGCTGGGCTGGCTGCTGGGGCCGTGGTCCTGCCCTTGCTCTTTTCTGCCTTTCCTGAAGGTACTGGCATTAACACTCATTTCTGACCTATTTTTCCAACCTCCAAACACGTACGGTTGTTGTTGGTTGGGATTTTTTTTTTCCCCTCTGCCACCAGCTCTGTTTTTCAGTTTTCCTCACTGCTTTTTTCCCCTGCGTTTTACATCTAGGAAAATGTCCTGGCCTTGGTTCTGATTTTATCTTCCCAGCACAAACAAGAATTTTATCGCACTGGGGCTTTAAACTGTTACCAAATCCTTTGGCAAACGATGCCCGTGCGTTGGGAGGTGCATTGCCACCCCCAAAAGCCCTTTCCCTGCCTTCATCCCGCTCCCTGGTGCAGGAGACTTTGATGCCCCAAGGATGCTCCCCTCAGGGACGCGGGTTCTGCAGTTGGGGTTGTTGGGGCGAGGCCCAACCCTGATGGGGACAAGGTGGAGGGATGAGCTGTGCCATCCTCCTAATGATATTAAAATAAGGAGATGCATCCTCACCCACCGGGCTTGCATCAGCCCAGACTCCCAGCGTGGCAGTCAGGTACCACCAACCCCGGACACCTCCCCGGGGCTGTTTTATCTCCCGTTCCTGTGTGTTGCCGCAGGTGGAAATTCCAAATATCCAAAAGCAGAGGAAACACTTGGCGAAGCTCGTGCTGGACATGGACTCCTCCAGGACGAGGTAGGAAGCAGCTTCAAAGCTGCTTTGTAAAAAATAAACATTCCTAAGCAATGGGTAGCACTGAGGAGGGCACATCCCAGAGCCCTGGTACCGTGGCTCCCTTGGGACAGTAAGTCTCGGCCGTGTCACCATGTGCCTTGAAGTCAAGCTCTGCAACAAGCCAAGATTTCTGTTCTTCTCTGCAGAGCCTGTAGATCCCTTTTCCTTGTCTGCCCTCTGCAGAAAAGAGTATTTTTTTCTGGGACAAATCTTTATTTTTTAATTCTTTTCCTTATCTTGGTGAGTTCGTACGTGATGGCAAGGAGCTGGGTGCTCCTGCCGCTGTAGGGTAGCACTGGGGACGAGCTGGGATGACCCTTGGGATCCTACTGTGTCCCAGACCCTGCGGTGGGAACTGGCAAACCGCACTTTGAGTTTTGCCTGGGCGTGTTGAGTTGGCCAAGCCCCGCACATCTTGGCATGCCCTGGGGAGAGGTTTGCGAGGTGTCCGTAGTCCCCAACATCATGTCGAGGGTCTCCCATCACCTTCCTCTCTCCTCCCGCCTGGATGAGGCTTGTTCTGCTGTTGGAAAGAATTTCTTAATTAGAGCCCAGTGCATGCAGCCGGTTGTGGGGACTGGGGATGTTTAGGGTTGGGAGTGGATGCTGCATCCCAGCCTGGGTTGAGACCATCTCCGTGCTGGGACCATGGGGGGCTTGGCTGAAGGGGGGAGTCCTTGGGCTGCCCTCCAAGTCTGCTGGGATCCGGCCATCGCTCTGCGTGGGTCCCCATCCCTCCCCGTGACAGCTCTGCCCTCTCTCCGCAGATGGCAACAGTCTGCCAAGTCCTCGGGGCTGGCCAGCAACCTGCAGCCCTCACGATGCTCTCAGGGAGGAGATGGAGGAGGCAGCCAACAGAGTGGAGATTTGCAGGGTACCCAGGGGTCCCAGATCGCTTCTTGCTGGGGTGGGGGGACCTTGGCATCCAAAGCACCACGGAAAACCTGCAGCCTCCCCTCTTACCCCGTTCTTCACCCTCTTCGTACCCCATTGCCCGTGATAAACCCTCCTCCAGCTGATTCCCATGCCCAAAGGCAGCCCGGCAGCAGCCCTCACCCTCTCCCCATCACCGCCGGGCACTGCCGGGGCTTGCCGGGGGCTCGAGGTGGCACCCTCAAGAGACAACCGCTGCGCCGGAGCTGCCCGATGTGGGTGATGCTCACCAGCCAAGCAGGATGTCCCTGGTTCCTCTGTCCCCATCCTCCATATCCTGCTGGAGCCGGAGAGTGTCCCATTCCTGGGGGACCCATCCTGGCAGGAGCCAGCGAGCTCAGCACCAAACACACCCAGCCCTGGCGCAGAGACCTGCGGGAAGCGCCAGTGCGTGCCGAGCCCACGTGTGCCACCCTGCCACGTCATCCCTCGCCATCCCGTGGGAGCACGACCCACCCAGCTGGTCATGTTGGGTGGGAAAAGTGTCAGAGCAAGGGAGGATGCTGCTGCCAGCGCCTTCATCATGGGCTGTGGGATTCGGCGATAGAACCCACAGGCAATTTTGTGTGGCTTTAAATTCCCCTGGGGCAGAAAACACAAAGGGCTGGGCCTTGCGCTAGAAGTTGGGGGCAGGAGATGGAGCTGGGTGCGTGTCTCAAATCCTGGCTCTTTGCTCCAGGGACACAACCAGAACCTGCAGAGCCTTTAAAATCCAGTCCCAAACTCCTGCTGTCTCCCCCCATCTTAGAGCATCGCAGCCCCACGCTCCCAGCAATTCCCAGCAATTCCCAGGAAACCAGCTCAGCCAGGAGCTGCCCCCCAGTACGTTCACCGTACCGATGGTGCACGTTGCAACTCGGACGTGCTCGCAGTGTTTTAAATCCCTGCTGGTTTTCCTCCACTTGACTTATCCAAGGGCATTCTCAGAAAGGAGCAACTAGGGAAGTGGCAAATTCTAGTTTTGCAAGTGGGAGGACACAGCGACGCGTGTCCTGGTACTGAGGGGCTCGTGGCAATCTGGAGCAAGAAGCACCTGATTCCCCATTAGTCTGGTCCGCGCCGACCGGTTGGGATGCTACCGGCGGCAGCCGGGCCGTGCCTGCTGCTTCGCCGCGCAGCAATTAGCCCTGTGGTTAATGAGCCACTTTCAATGCAGCGAAGGGCAAGAACGGGCAAACTTGGGGTTTAATTTGGCCTGGATTTGTGCCGTTCAGCCTGCTGGGATGGGCAGCCTTTGGCTGACGGGTTGTTTCCAAATAATCCTCACTTCCAGAGAGCTCGTTGCAAGGTGCCAGTTAATTGAGGGCTCTGGAAGGAGCAGGGGGGTGAGGGTGGAGCCGTTTGAACGGCAGTGGAAAGCAAACCCTTCAGTGCTGCTGGGCATCCAACACCCCAAGCCCATCTCGAGTGGGTGCTGCAATGTGCCGCGTTGCATGTTGGCTCCTGGTGTGACCGAGCTGGTCCCTCCCGGTGGCCTCTGAAAGGGCCATCATGGTGGCATCAGGGCAGCACAAGTGGGACGGCGACTAATTCTCTGCTCTCCGCAGGACCAGCTCTCAGCTGACATGTACAATTTTGTGGCCAAAGAAGTAGACTATGCAAACTATTTTCAAACAGTAAGTGCCACCCATCCCCGTGGGACTCCTCCGTCCCCATCCCTGGCCGTAGGGGTGACAGCCGGTGCCGTCTCTCCCCCCCAGCTGATCGAGGTGCAGGCAGAGTACCATCGGAAATCCTTAGCGCTTTTGCAGAATGTCCTGCCTCAAATTAAAGCCCAGCAGGGTAAGTGCCCGCGGGCTCTGGCCCGCTCCTGCATGCGATGCCAAGGGCTCTGCGTCACGCCGGAGCCATGCGGAGCTTTGCTGCGGCGATGAGCCGGTTGCAGCGTGACCCTGCGGCGTGGTGTGGGGCTGGCTTTGCGGCTGAGCATCCTCCCTTTGCTCGCCTCATCTGCATCCCGCCTGCCCTGGCGCTGGGCAGGGAATCCCCATCCCAGCTGGTCCTGGGGGGGGCCAGGATCTGGCTGGCTTCATGGAGAGGGAGGGGGGGAAACCTACCTGAATATCACCTTCGAGCGCAGCACCGGAGGTGGGAACCCAGCGCCAAGGGGGGGGTCTTGGGGCTTCGCTTTGTGGTGTGTGACCTCCGTAGGAGCTGGGCTGGGGGACCAAGGTCGGGGAAAGTCCCACACCGTGGCCCCGAGAGCAGCGCGTTCCCCGGGGCAGGGCTCAGGGTGCTGCTGTCGCTGCGGCGAGGCAGGGAGTGATTTGTATTTTATTTTTTTCTCTCGATCCCACAAAATATTCCTGCCTCAAACTGTGATGGAAGAAGGGGGAATATATTGCAAAGGTTTGCCTGTGATTGCTCCCCCCGGAAAACGTTATCCAGCCCCTTTGAAATGTCCCGTGTGATGATTGGAAAACATTTTGTTTGGATTTCATCTTTAAAAAGCACTTCCCAAGCCGCCCAGGACAGAGGTGCGGGGTCCTGTTGTTTAGCAACACCCAAACGGAATATTTTGCTGCCGAAACGCTGTGATCCAAGGGCCTTTCGGGGAGGGGATGTCGGATCCGGCACCATCCCTGCCGTGTCCTCCCCCTCCTCTCACCCCCTCTGCCCATCACAGAGGCGTGGATGGAGAAGCCCTCCTTCGGGAAACCCTTGGAGGAGCACCTGGCCGTCAGCGGGCGGGAGATCGCCTTCCCTGTGGAGGCATGCGTGACGATGCTGCTGGAGTGCGGCATGCAGGAGGAGGTGGGTCCCATGTCCTACCACCCTCGGTTGGGCATGATGGAAGGGGACACGGGTGCCTCCAAGGCAGGGATGAGGAACCGGGGGGGCTTTGGGGACATCCCCCGGCCCTAAAGCTTGGCTGACGCTCTCCCGTGTCCTCTGTGAAGGGTCTCTTCCGAGTGGCTCCCTCAGCCTCCAAGTTGAAGAATCTCAAGGCCGCCCGGGACTGCTGCGTGGTGGACGTGCAGGAGTACTCGGCCGACCCGCACGCCATCGCAGGTAGAAGCTGCCTCGGGGTGAGGAGGTTGGTGGTGTACGGGATGGTCCATCCAGCCCCCAAGCACCAACTGTGGGTACCCAAAGGGTGGTCACCAGTGGCGTGAAGCCTAGTTGGAGGTCAGTAACTAGCGGTGTAGCCCACGGGTCAGTACTGAGTCTGATTTTGTTTAACGTCTTCATTAATTCATGATGGGGATGAGGCACCAGAAGGTCGTGCTGCCATCCAGAGGGACCTGGGCAGGCTGGAGAAATGGGCTGGGGGGGACCTGGGGAAGTTCAGATCCTTTTTGGGTCCTGCACCTGGGGAAGCACAACCCCAGGCACCAGTAAATGCTGGGATCACCCAACTGGAAAGCAGCTTGGCAGAGATGGCCCTGGGGGTCCTGGAGGAGACCGAGCTGACCATGGGCTGGCAACATGAAGGCGAATGGTGTCCTGGGCTGCACTGGGAGAAGTGATGACAACAGGTCAAGGGAGGTGATCCTTCCCTTGGTGAGGCCACTCCTGGAGTGCTGGGCCCAGCGCTGCGCACTGGAAGAGAGACAAGGACATACTGGAGAGTCTCCAGTGAAAGACCATGGAGATGATGAAGGGCCTGGAGCATCTCTCCCAGGAGGAAATGCTGAAGGACTTGGGACTGTTCAGCGTGGAACCGAGAAGGCTCAGGAGGATCTCATCAATGGATATAAATACCTGCAGGGAGGGTGCAAAGAAGATGGAGCCCTTTCCAGTGGTGCCCAGTGCCAGGACCAGAGGCAACGGGCACCAACTGAACCACGGGAGGTTCCCTCTGAACAGCTGGAGACGCTTTGTCACTGTGAGGGTGACCAAGTACAGGTTGCCCAGGGTGGTGGTGGAGTCTCCATCCTTGGAGATACTCAGAAGCCATCGGGACATGGTCCTGGGCAGCCAGCTCAGCTCAGCTGGTCCTGCTGGAGCAGGAGGTTGGACCAGATGACCTCTGGGTCCCTTCCCACCTCAACCCTTCTGTGATATGTCCCAAAGCCTTGGAACAGCGAAGACGGAATATACGGGGGGACAAATGCAGGTGCAGAAATAAAGCTCTTGGTGGAGGTGGGGGTGTTTAGGAGCTGCTGTCCACCAAGGAGCACAAACCCCGACCCGCACATCCCCTCCCCGGCCAAGGGCTCGAGCAGCACTTTGGGTCGCAGGCGAGGAAGAAAACAGGGATGCAATTGTAATCCGAGGCGGCATCGGGGCCCGGGTGACACTAATGAAGGTGACACTAATGAGGGTGCCATTGATCGAGAGAGGCTCTGCAGGAGCAAGGAGCGGTCGGGAAGATTCCCACGTGTTACCATCAAGCTTGCCGTCTTCTGTGTGTCTCTTCTGTGGCCAAGACCCTCTCCAAGCACAGATCTGAGCCCTCAGGGCTGCTGTTGAGCATTAATTGGGTTTAAATGGCAGTCAGCTGCCCCCCCTCCTGGGCTGGGCTCTCTGGTGGGTGCAGGATTGGACCCGGGATTCCAACTGACTGCAGGGGGAAGCTTTTGCCAGCGCAAGGAGCTGTGATCGTCCTAGAGAAAACGGCGCGATGGAGAGCTGGGCAGAGGCAAAAATGGTGGAGGGGATGAGGGAGGTGGTAGGAGGGAGTAGGGGGTGGTGGTTGCTGGGGGTCAGGGGACGCTATGGGTCCCACCAAGCTGGAGGGACTAATGGGTGCTTTGGGATGCATCGGTGGGGAGGTTGGGAGGGACGCCAGTCAAAACGCCGAGGAGTGAAACTGCCCAGTGCCTGGTGGCCAGTGCCACCTGGGGTGCTGAGCCCCGTGTCCCTTGTGTGTCACAGGAGCCCTCAAGTCCTACCTGCGAGAGCTGCCGGAGCCCCTCATGACGTTCGAGCTGTACGAGGAGTGGATCCAGGCCTCCAAGTGAGTCTGGGGCATCCCCCTCCCCATTCCTCTGTGACACGGGTGGTGGCATCTCAGGTCCCCACGGATGGTTTAGGGACCATGAGTTATTTCTGACATGACTCACAGCATTTGGGAGATTTCCTCGGGGATCTGAAAGCCAAGGGGGTTCCCCTGATGCTCCTTGAGCATCGTGGGTCCGGGCAGTGAGGGTGGCCCTGATGTCCCCTGACCCTGATGTCCCCAGCGTGGTCCAGGGCACCTCGGCCAAGGTGGCTGAGCTCTCCCAGCATCTTTCGGCAAGCCCGTGGGTGCTGGTGGCATTTCTGGGTGGGTGTGCAAACCCCGAGGGGGAGCTCCCACCTGCGTTACTGGTGTGCTCTGCACCATTCAACCCCCAAAACCCAGCAGGATTGGGCCAGTTGAGGTGGCACCATCGTACCTGCTCCACCACGGGAGATGTTCGGGGTAGGGGGAGGTCAGGCAGAGGGAGGTGGGAGAAAGAACATCTCCTTTTGGGGGGGAAACCACCTTGGTGGTGCCTGAATATAGGTCCGAGTACATCCCCTGCCTGCCCTGGGAGCGTTGGAGCACGGCAGGGACGCGGTGGTGGCTCCCCGGAGGGGACGGTCCCCGAGGGTGGCATGTGGGGGAGCGGGCTGTTGTTTTGGGGGGGCTGTTTGCTATAATTTCCCCTTCCAAAGCAAACATATCCCCAAAACACAAACCACGGGGAGGCTGCCCAGCAGTGAGGAGGGCATCCAACCTGCCACGGAAAGGTTTCCTTCTCCTTTTGGCCAGGTTTTGTGGGTTAATTTATTTATATAATGTCAGCAGCTGCCCGAGGGTCTCACAGGGTTCCCCAGGGCAGGGCTGGCAGGGT